TGTTCATTTTAATTGCAGCCATTCTCCCAGACCATGACAATTTTAATCTGTTCCATGTATCCAGATCTCTTTTGATTTCTTTCCATATTATATTATAGTTATCACTAATTAAATTGATGTTTCTCATTGTTAATTTGATCCCTAAATATTTCACCTTTTTCACTGCTTTGATTCCATATTTTTGTTCCAATTGTTCTATCACATTCCTCTCCAAATTTTTGACCATCATTTTTGTCTTTGTTCTATTTAATTTAAATCCTGATAATTTACCAAATTCTTCTAATTCTTGTAATGCTTTACCAACCGTAATTTGTGGTTCTTCTAATGTAAGTACCAAATCATCCGCATATGCTTTCAGTTTAAATTCCATTTTTCCAATTTTGATTCCTCGAATTTCCGGTGTCTTCCTTATCTTGTTTGCTATCACCTCTAGAACCATTATGAATAGCAGGGGGGATAGAGGGCACCCTTGTCTCGTTCCTTTTGTAATTTAGAATGACTCTGTCAGATTGTTATTAATAATTAATTTGGCTATTTGTTTAGAATATATAGCCTTTATACCTTTCATAAATGTTCCCTCTATCCCCATTGCTTCCATGCTTTTTAATAGAAACTGCCACAACACATTATCAAACGCCTTTTCTGCATCAATAAAAATTAGCACAGCTGGTATTTCATTTTTAACTTCCAGGTATTCTGTGATGTTTACAATGTGGCTTATATTCTCTTTAAGTTGTCTGTTTGGCAGAAACCCAGCTTGATCTTTATGAATATAGAAAATTGGGTTTGTAGCATTTGAATTGCTTGTTTATTCTGATCATCTTTGGGTTTTGCTATTAATTTCTTTTCTCACTCTTCCAATTGTGCCAGGACTTCTTTTTTCTTTTCTCTTAACCTTCTTCTATAGTTATTTTGTTGAATCAAGAAGCCTCTCATAACTGCCTTGCTTGCATCCCAGACAGCTTCCAAATTTGTCTCATTGTTTAAATTCCATTTAAAATATTCTTTCAGGGTTTCTTTGGCTTTATCAATAACTTCTGAATTCTCAAAAAGATTTTTGTTCATCCTCCATCTATGTGTGCCTTGAACATTACTTTTCACCTCTAAAATTATGGGATTGTGATCTGATAGAGTTCTTGGTAATATTTCACATTTCAATGTTTTTGGAGTTAGTTGAGAGCCAGTGTGGTGTAGTGGTTAAGAGCAGTAGTCTCGTAATCTGGGGAACCAGGTTCGTGTCTCCACTCCTCCACATGCAGCTGCTGGGTGACCTTGGGCCAGTCACACTTCTTTGAAGTCTCTCTTTTTCCCCCCAATAATTTTTATTAAGTTTCCATTTGCCAAATTAAACATATCATACCAATTAGTCCAAATTATATCAATACACATCATAAAGTCCAAATGTTTTCCAAATTAATTTTTTTTTGTGGGGGGTACCCATGCTTCTCGATCGTCAGGAATCCAAACATCCAAATTCGTGCTGCTTTTCCTCATTGCAATGATGTATCCAGTCCCATCTTCTCATCTTTGTCATTATTCATTTTCCTTTTCTGTCACCTCTGAGTTTTCTCCACAAGTGGATTGAAAGGAACAGTCTTATTTTGTCTCTGTGTGGGTTTTGTAATGCTCTCTCGTATGTCTCTCACAAAAATCCAACAATCAAGTTTACAAGTTTTCGAGCAGACGCGCCATCTTGTCATTACGATGAAATACAACCTAAATGTCCACTCGTTTACCTCATAATTAGTCTTCCAGGAGGATAACAGCCCTTTCAGATTTACGATTCCAGCAGGATATCCAAACGGCTCTTCCTCCCTAGACCATCCCTCTTGCAGCCAAGGTCTGCCTACGCATCGAAACATTTCTTGCTGCGTCACCGAGAGAGACTCACTTCTTTCCAAATCTTTCACAAACATATTATTTTGTCCACACAGTTCATTTTCTCTCCCACTTGCAAACTGGTCGTCGAGACGGTTTTTTAAGGGGGAGGGTTATTGTATACTCACATAAAAATAAAATAAAGTCTCCCCCCCCTTCGTACCGTTCCACATACCAATATGTCGGCAGTCCTCTGATATTATCTCTGTTCCTTCTGTCCTTCTGTCCAGGTCTTCTTCTCTCGGTGGTAAAATTATTAGCAGATAAAAGCATTCCTGACTTCTCTTGAAGCATGTGCGTTTATTTTCCAATTATTTTCTTCTTTTTAATCATTTTTCGCAACCAGGCTCGCTCCTGAAAGTAGCTGGCAAGGAGCTCCGAGCCTGCCCGAGGGCTTTCCGCCTAGTGCCTCTCACCCCCTCCTTCATCCGAACTCAGGGGTGATTTATGGCAACAGCAGGCGAGGCAGCATCTTTTCAATTCCCTGAAAAGACGAAGGGAGGCTGATATACTCCCCATATTCAGCCTCTAATTACCTCGTGCAAGCTGCACAAGATGTTATAGCAGCCATCTTTCAAGGCGCCCCTAGCGGTCCCCCTGACTTCTTTGAAGTCTCTCAGCCCCACTCACCTCACAGAGTGTTTGTTGTGGGGGAGGAAGGGAAAGGAGAATGTTAGCCGCTTTGAGACTCCTTAAAGGGAGTGAAAGACGGGATATCAAATCCAAACTCCTCTTCTTCTTGTCTTGAGATCCATATTTCGTCTATCCTTCCCCAGCTTTTCTGAGGTTCCGAATAAAAGGTGAATTGTTTGGTGGTTGGATGTCTAAGCCTCCAGACATCTGTCAGTTCCAAGTTCTCCACAAGATTGAAAAAAGTCTTAGGTAATTTACCCTGCATTGTTAATTGGCTTTCTGGAATTGCCTCCAGAGTCATCACTAAATTATCCCATGATTCAGGAGGTGAAGACAGCACAATATGAACCTTTCTCTGCTCAGAAAAATGTTCCCCAAGTTCATTCAACTGTGAAAATAAATCACACATTCTTTGAAGGTGTTTTGAAACACATTCACCCTCACTTAGTCTGGCTCGGTACAGTAATTTTGCTGCCAGCAGTGTCTCTAATGTGTATCTCTCTCAGTGCTTTTCAAATCTTACTTGCTGTTTCAAGGTCTCATACATGAGATAACTGAGACTTCTCTAAAATCAAAATTAAATTGGCATAGGCTTTGTCCTCCAGCCTTTGGTCTGCTTCATCTACTTCTTCATCCTCATCTTTTACAGGAGGGTTAACAATTAACAGTCCAACATTGTTCTTTCTTTAAAAATGCCTGCATCTGTAAACTCCATGACATATAATTGGACTCTCCCAGATTCTCTACTGGAAAACATGAAGCTCCCCCTTGAGCTCCAGCTCCAAGTCCAGCCATGGCTCCACCGAGCTTTCAGCTTTCCACTCAGTCTTTACTCACACATGGCTTGAAGAATTGTTCGGCTCCTGGTCTCAAACAGACACTCCCTGCCGACGCCTTCACACAGCCTGCTGCTTGAGAAACGCTGAGTTACTTCCAGTCTCTGGGTTCTTTACACACTCTGTCTCTGCCCACTCAGGACTGGGCCCATAACCTGTTACAGGGGGATTTTCCACTGGTGGCAGATGACAGAAGACTGTGACACCATGAGACCGGTGTAAAACCAACTTAAATAAGGACTTTATTACAAAACAACAAACAGCAAAGCTTCTGGGTGTTTTTCCTGCAGGCAGAGTTCAAACTGCAGCTTTTCTCCTTTTGTAGCCACGGCCAGCTGCAACCAATTAGCCCAGAGCTCACAAAAACTGTTCTTAAAGGTACAAACATGTTTCTGTGCAGAATGACTCCCAACATTCTCCCCCAGGTAGACCGATAGTTTCGGGCTCTGGATCCATCCTGGAACCCATTGCAAAATATTTAGATTCTTTTTTTCAAACCTTATGCCAAGGACTCTCTGACATATATTGAAGACACAGCACATTTCATTCGACAAGTTGAACAGTTACAAGTATCAGACGCTACCGTTTTAGTACACAAAATTCCTCTGGAAGAAGTATGCCACATCATTCTACAATTGTGGGAATCTAGACAGGACCTGCATCCCCCTCTGAATTCCTATTAGATTTATTGGATATTGTTTTTGAAAATAATTATTTTCTTTTTTTAGATCAATTCTATTTTCAGTCCCAAGGTGTGGCCTTGGGCTCACCTTTAGCTCCTTTGGTGGCCAATATTTTTATGATCTCATTTGAAAAAACTCATATTTTGAATAACAATCCATATTCTAAGTGTTTGCTGCACTGTTATAGATGATCTGTTTTTTTTCTGTTCAGTATGGATTAATTCCATACACCCTTCCCTGTCTTTTTCAGGACAACATAGTACTAATTCCTGCAAATTCCTAGATGTGGAGGTGGTAAAACAGGACGGGTACTTGTGAAACCTTTCCATATACCCACTAATTGTAATTCTTTACTTCATTACTCTTCCTTTCATCCTAAGCATTTTAAGGACAATTTACCATATGAACAACTGTTGAGGATCAAGAGGAATTCCTCACTACATAATGATTTTCTAATTGGAGCTGAAACCCTTTCCAAATCTCTATTAACCAGAGGTGTCAGCTGCGTCCCATTGCTGACAGAGGAGGAGAGTGTGGAGAGACAGGAGGAGGTAATTAGGCAGGAATGCAGAACTAGGGAGGAGCAGCCTAGTTGCAGTAGATGCCTGAGCTCCAAGAACAAGGAGAAGGAAGGGGGGGCGTTCAAGGGAGAAGACACAGACTGACAGTTTAAGCTCGGACTCAGAGGGAGGGCCACTGGAAATAGCCCATCCCATGACACATAGGCACGCAAGAATTAATGAGAGGTGTGAACAGGAAAGGAAGTGAAAGTGGGGCTTTAAATGTGGGAAGAGGAAGGGGTGTAACTCAGACTCGGCAACAGCTAATTTGGAAGCAGACGCTAAGTGACTGAGCTCCAGAGTGATTTGTGTGTTTGAGAAATAAACCTGAGTTATTTACTGCCAGAGTTGTCTCACTTCTGTGGGAGAGACCCAACCATTACAGACTGCTGAGTCTCAAGTTATCTCTCATGCTGGAGGACAACAAGAACGTGATGGATGGGCAAGTACTGGACATGGGAAATGCAGCTGGAGGAGCAGAGGGAGGGGCAGGAGAGTCCTCAGACCCCATATTAGAGTTGCGAAGCTACACACGGCAGCTCAAATCTCAGGTAGACGTTTTAGCAGGAGCGTTAAATGAACAGAAGTTGAGCTCAGAAAATGAAAGGAGCCTCAGAGCCAGCAAGGGGCTTGGGGTGCACCCTGCTAAATACAATGGAGACACAAAACACTATGCAGCCTTTAAAACTGAAGCCAGATACATCTTGGACATAAGATCAGCTGAATTCAGCTCAGGTAAGCATCACATCGTGGTTTTGATCAGTTGGCTGGAGGGGCTAGCGAAGGACTGGGTCATTATGCTGATGGAGGGCCAACACAGTGCTCTAGGAAACCTGCGGGAGTTCTGGGAGCTGATGGATTCCATGTTCAAGAGCCCGCTGGAGCATGTGGCCACGGAACAGCGACTATTGAACTTGCGAAAAGGAAGTGGCTCGGTGGCCTCTTATTGGACTGCTTTCAATTTGCTAGTGCAAAGAGTTGGCTGGGGACAGAACACAGGGCCGCTTGCCGCCATGTATCACACAGGATTGAACTCGTCAGTCCTAGATGAGATGGCGAAGATGCAACCCATGCAGTTGCTGGACGAGATAGCCTGAGCCTTCCCATAGCTCGGCTTACAGCAGGAGCAACGGAAGCTGGAAAAGAGGGGGGCAGGAGGACTATTGGGGGTTGGGGTCCACACTCCTAAGCTGCCGGAGCAGGGGGTCAGCAGCACACGTAGTCAAGGAGAAGCTGTTGAACCAATGCAGTTTGGCTCGGTGGAAGGGGGCAGAGCTAGAATGGCATGGAAGGAAGGAAGTCACTGTTAGGATCGTCCTACTCACATGTAGGACTCCTATAGAGACACATGCCCAACTGGCATGTTCTCTCCCTCCTGGTCGGTTGTTTGGGAGCTTCAAAAGCTTTCTCCAGCCCGAACATCACAGCGACTGATACCAAGAGGCATTAGCACGCTTATGGAACCTGCAGAGTATTGGCAGTTCGCATAACAGACTCAATAGCTCAGCATTTTGGCTAAACTACTTTATTTACGTATAATGCACTCGGCGCATTCTGACTCAGCTCCTTCCTCTTTCTCATCAAACAACAAAGAGAAAAAACAAAGGACAATAGTCCCACATCACAGAACTGTTAGGATATTTCCGTTCCACCTTAAAAGGGAGCAGGCTTTGTGAGTCACACAGCCTGCGTATTTCCTGTTTCACAGGATGTTTCTGTTGTGTCTTTGTTTTTCGCTCTCTGTGTCAGAGACACTGAAGCAAGCACTCATGTTTTTCTTTGTTCTGATCAACGCTGAATAAAACTTGTAAATAATGCTCTCCTGCGTGCAACTTTCGCTGTGCATTATCTGCTGATAGAGCGTGCATGAGTTCTGGAATGTGGCAGGCTATTTCTGGAGCTCGTGTCGCTAATTGCTGATACTGTATCTACGGGAGATCGATGGATCGTCCGGAGGCGACTTGTGGGGCCATGATGGACTTTGTCTCCCTGGCAGTATCCCAACAACAGGTTTCAGGCCCAGATTCACGGCACTTACAGGAGAGTAAGGCTGCGAAAGACTACGTTGAGGTATGTGGGAAAAGCGAAAGCAAATCAGGCTTTTCTGTTTGCCGCGGCAGAGTCTCTTTGATGTCCGGCTGGCCTAATTGGTCTGGGAGCCGAGCCAAGCAGGCTTCGTGATTTATGAGCTGCCAAGATAAGGAGCCTCTGAAGTGAATAAGGCTCACGGCTCAAGTGAAGAGCTGGAATGGAGTTTTTCCAAGCTTCTGAAGCTGCTGAGTGCCCAAAGTTAAATCGGCACAATTATGAGACCTGGGCTGTGTGGTGTGAAAGTTTGCTGCGTCAGTTTGGAGTGTGGCATACTGTGTCTGAAGCCCCTCCAGTTCCTCTGACAGATAGATGGAGGGCCCAGGATTCGAAGGCCATGGACGTAATAGTCTTGTCCGTCTCTCTGGAGGAAATTAAGATGCTAGCTGGCAACACGACTGCACGTAAGATGTGGAATGCTTTGAAGATAGCCCATCTGCCAGTCATCCCAGCCCAGAGTTTGACTGCGTCGGAGGTCCTGGCTGTTTCCCAGGATGCGAGTGAATGCAGGGATGCTGAGTGCACCATTTGCAAGCTGCAGGGGGAGCTGACTGTGATGTCATCCCAGGCAGCATTTCAGCCTTCAGGGGGAGCCAAGGAGTCAGCAGCTGAGAGCGCTGTTTCTCTTGGGAGCCAAGGTCATCCTCACAGAGGCCGGAAGGCCAGAGGTAAACAGAGACCGATGCCTGCAGATGGCCAGAAGCAGAAGGAGGGTGGAAAGCCCAAGCCAGGGAAAAACAAGGCTTTGTTTGCTGGCACAGCTTCACCAAAGGCTAAAGGCAAGTCTGATGGCCAGGAGCAGGGGGGCAAGCAGCAAAAGCCCACACCGGTGCAAAACAAGGTTTTGCTTGCTGCAAAAGCTGCTCCAAAGGCCAAGGCCAGATTTATTATAGATTCTGGATGCACCCGCCATTTGGCAAAAGACCGGCATCTCTTTATCTCCTTCAAACGTCAATCTGGTGAGATCCACCTGGCTGACGGAAAGACGTTGCGAATCGCAGGAGAAGGGACTGTGAAACTGGTGAGTCTGCACACTACCATCAAAGATGTACTTTTTGTTCCAGGTGCTGCAGACAATTTGCTCAGTGTCCCACAGCTGACTGGGCGTGGTTTTGAGATTTCCTTCAAGAGGAGCGTCTGTGTCATCAGGAAAGGCAAAGAGGACATTTTGCAGGCAAAGTTTATAGATGGTTTGTTCTGTATAACTTATGATGACAATGGTGCTGTTGTGTCAAATGTTGATTCTTGTTGTGTTGCACAAACTAACAAAGTTCTTCATGCAGGATGCATTCATGATGCACATCAAAGATTTTGTCACATGTCTTGGCAAGCACTGGCCAAGATGCCAGGATTGGTTCAGGGTTTGAACATCAAACCCTGTAAGTTTCACATGAAATGTGTATCTTGTGCAGAAAACAAGGTGAAGGTTGCTCCAAAAGGCAAGGAGTCTAGCAGGCAGGCTTCCAAACCCTACCAGCTAGTCCACGCAGACCTGGTTGGTCCACTTGCACCCTCTTTGGGTGGAGCAAGGTACTTCATGGTTCTAATTGATTCTTTTTCCAGGTACATTCATGTGTTTATGCTCGAGCAGAAATCGCAAGCGTTTCCTAAGTTCAAGGCATTCTGTGCTTGGTTGGAAAATGTTCACAGTAAACGTATCGGCTGTCTCTTTACTGATCGGGGCGAGGAGTTCACTTCTCAGCAGTTTGAAGCTTTCCTGACTGAGAAGGGAATCCAGCATGACTTGTCTACGCCTAGATCGCCATGGATGAATGGACTTGCGGAGCGAGCAAATCAAACTTTGCTTCAAGGCCTAAAAACCTTGTTGCATGATGCCAATCTCCCTAATAAGTATTGGGGGAAGGCTTTGTCGACTTTTGTTTACACTTATAATCGCAAACTGTCGTCACCTATTGGTTGTACCCCCTATGAGAAGATGTTTGGTAAGAAACCCAACGTCAAGCACCTGAGAATCTTTGGTTCTGACATGTGGATACACACCCCACAGAGCAACAAGCTTGGGAAGCGTGGGGCACATGGTTTGTTCATGGGGTACAAAAAAGGTGCATACAGGGTATGGATGACTGACTCTAAGTCCATTAAGTTCACAAAGAGTGTTGAGTACAATCCTAGGTGGGGGGAAAATGTGGGAATTTTCCAGTTACCCAGAGGAGGATGAAGGTGATGTGAAAAAAGCAGATGGTGTTGAGGCAGAAGAGGAAGCTGAGGATGATGATGATGATCAGAGTTCGGATTCCAGTTCAGTGGGCGGCACTGCTGCTGATGTCAGTGACAGTGATGACACAGCAGACTACAAGAGCGCAAAGGCCTCAGTCAGACCATCTGATGCGTCTGACAATGAACTGGAAGAACCACTGTTGACCATTTGTCACTTTTCTCCTTAGAAGGAGGAGATGAGTCCAGAAGACTTGCGTCTAGTACGCAGATCTGAAAGGGCACGAAGGGCAAACCTCCAAAGAGATTTGCTGATGAATTTGCTAAGACAGCAACTGCTGTTCTTAGTAGCTCAGAGAAGGTGTGGGAACCTTCAAGCTTCAAAGAGGTTCAGGAGTTAATCTCTAAAGATGCTGAGCCTTGGCTTAATGCCGTGAAGGCTGAAGTTGATTCCTTGAACAGGAACCAAACTTGGGAGCTGGTACCGGTAGTCCCAGGAATGAGACTGGTTGGCAGCAAATGGGTCTTCAAGGCCAAGACAGACCAGAATGGCAAGGTTGTCAGACACAAAGCCAGATTGGTTGCCAGAGGTTTTTCACAGGTACCAGGACAGGATTACCACGAGACCTACTCTCCCACCATCAAGTATGAGAGCATTCGACTGATGCTCAAGATTGCTGCGGAGGAGAAACTGCATGTTTCCCATCATGACATTAATACAGCTTTTTTGTACGGGATTTTGGGGGAGGAGCTGTATATGCTTCCACCTGACGGGATGCAGATACAGAAGGGAATGGTCTGTAAACTTCGGAAATCCTTATATGGTCTCAAGCAGAGTGCCAGGTGTTGGAACACAAAGCTCACGGAGACATTGCTTTCTCTAGGTTTTCACCAGGGCAAAGCTGATCCATGTGTGTTTGTCAAGGAGGAGGGGCAAAACAAACTGTATTGTTTATGTTTTGTTGATGATCTTCTGATGTTTTGGAAGAATCAGGCTTTGTACCAAAGCACCCTAGCTCAGCTGAAGGAGCACTTTGACATGAAGGATCTTGGTGAGGTATCCAACTATCTTTCTCTGCAGGTGGAGAGGGACCAAGCAGGTAATTTTCTGGTACGCCAAACACAGAAAATTGCTGATGTATTAACCAGGTTGAATTTGGTTGATGCAAACCCAGCAGACACACCGATGGTGACAGGTTACCAGGTAGATAGTACTGCTGAAGCGTTTTCTGACACAACGCTGTACAGATGCATTCTAGGCAAGTTGAATTTCATTGCTAGATGTTCAAGACCCGACATAGCTGTAAGCTGTAACCTGCTTAGCAGACATGCCAACAATCCTACTGTTCAGGATTGGAAAGCTCTGAAGCGCATAGCCCGCTATTTGAAAGGGACTATGCACCACAGGCTGAGGTTCACCAGTCAGAAGACTGGAGGTCTTGAAATCTTTGCAGATGCTAGTTTTGGAAGTGACACCACGGATGGTACAAGCACTTCTGGAGTATGCTACATGTACAACCACTGTCTGTTTGACTGGCTGTGCAAGAAGCAGACGACAGTAAGCCTAAGTTCGTGTGAAGCAGAACTCAATGCTCTGCCATTTTCACTCATGGATTGTGAATGGTTGATGCAACTGTTTAAGGACATCAGAGTTTCTGTGAAATGTCCTATACAAGTGTATCAAGACAATAGATCCTGTTTGGCTTTGCTGAACTCGGAGAGTTGCAAGCAAAGAACCAAGTACTTGCAGATTAAGCTACATCGTGCAAGAGAGTGTATTGAGAAAGGACTCATAGAATCATAGAATCATAGAGTTGGAGGAGACCACAAGGGC